TATGAGTCCCAAGCTTTCTTCTTCAGCAGTAGGAGAGAGTCACTAAAGAGAAGAAAGCCCCAGGGCCGCAGATCACAAGTGTGTTATCATCTGTAGTTGGCTTAGCGGACATTCCCCAGACCCAGGGGCCAGAGGGTGGTGGAACCTGAAGCCATGCAGGCCGCTCAGTGCTGGGAGCCTGGACTGGGCCCACGGAGCCCACTTCCTCCCTCTCCTTCGGGAAGCCCCCATCCATTGGCTCCCTCCGTGCGCAGCTCCTGTTTATTCCTCCACTTGGAGTCTACTGGGTATTTTCATTGGCCTGCTCCCCGAGCTCTGTGTACCCTGCAAGGGCCCCTCACGGCAACAATCCCTCCTGAGGCACCAGCCTCACCCCTACCCGCCCCACCACTGAGCCTTCCCCATCCTTGGGTCCTTGTGGCCGGCGCCACCCAGCGCTGAGCCCACACCCCACACACTGCAGCAGCCCATTCCCTTCCCCCCAGGGCACCCCAGCGCCCCCTCACCCCTGCTGACCCAGCCCATCAGCCACCGCTGCCCCGTGGGAGGGGGCAGGTCCCGCAGGCTGGTTGGCCTCTCCTCCCAGGTCACCTGCCTGACCCTCAGCTTGACCAACAGCCACCCCAGTTATCCGTCATGGTTGCCTCCCTCCTGGACACTCCAGGGCTCACTGTCTACGAGTACATTTATTAAAACGAAATTAGACTTGCTTTCCCAGAAAATGCTCTACTTGATCATGAGTTTTTAAAAAACATTTGCCTGTTTTGATTTGTTATTGTATCAAAGATTTTGTTTCTCTGCTTAGGATGGTTAACTTGGTCAGGTTTTAGCCTTGGGGTTCTCCTAGCTTTGAAAAAAGAATCGAAAGATCTGCTTTTTTTTTTTTTGCTCTGGAACTGTATCTAGCCTGGGCCTCCCCTGTTCCATCAAAGGGTCAAATGTTCTGCACCCCAAGTCAGGTAACAGAGCTGGGCCACTTTGGGGTCTTCTCCCAGTGCTATTCCTGCT